CTCCTGTCTAAATTGGCCCTCCTATGTATGCATGTGAGATAGGGACCTTAGAGTGTAAGCTCCTTAAGGACAGGGACTGAAGTGAATGTGCAACTATGTAAGATGCTGTGTAAATTGTCAGCACTGTATAAATACCAGAAATAAATAGTGTTTTGGCAGAGATCTTCATTAACCCTGGCTATGGGCCTTGCTGCATTCCTTCTTACCTTACTGTACAATAGCAGTTCTTAGACTTCTACATGCACTATTGAGCAGTCTGCTACCACTGTTGGAATGGACTTACTGAAGTGTGCTAAGAGAACTGTGACTCTACATAAAGATGGCATGTGGGGAGAGAAGAAGAAAGGTATTGGTTCTACACAGAATAATTACAAAATAATCATGTCAAAAACAAATATGTGTCCTTTTTTCCCCCTGCCAAAGAATTAGCAATTCTGTTCTTCAAGTCTTGTGATTTACACTGCAGTAAGGCAGATGACACACTTATTTGTATGTTAAGCATTGCAGCTTCATATGTCATCTCTCCATCTCTAGCCTGATCACAGTTACAGTAAATGCTGGTGTATTTCCAACATTCATCAGTATCTATCCAAGTAGCAAGGAGATGATCCAGAAAGTGGTGGCAGTCTGGCAGAGCTGGAAGAGGAAACAACAGAGAGATCCTCCTGACTGTGGAATGTGACAGTAGCTTGTAAATCAGAGGCGGCTGTACAGAATCAGATGACAGGTAAAACAGAAAACAAATGTTCTATTTTAAACGTGTCTGTAATGGTTTGCCCTGCATAAGACATTAATGAGCATGGCGTACGAACCTAAAATAAGCTAGAAAACAAGATTCTTCTTTGCTGGAACTAATAATCTCGTTATATTTTATATAAGGAAGTGATATGCCAAATGCAAAACATAGATTGGCATGTTCAAAGACATAAACAGTAACTATCCAAGTATTTATTAGTGTTGATCTTGAGAATGAGAATAGTTTATTCAGATGTACTTTTTTCAGCATAGCTAACAACAGTCATACTAACATTCCTACATTTAAGGTTTGCGTCACGGGCACATGCTGTTTTTGGCACAAAAGCAATCTTGGTGCCGAGCTTATGACTGCTGTAGATTGTTATAGTCAGTAAAGCTTGCGTGTAGGGTTAGTACATTTCTAAGATATCATGCATAGTAGAACACTAACGCTACAATATCATTATACCATCACTGAATAAAACTCATGTTATTTTTTCTGTAAAATAAATATCTACACTTTAAAGATAATATAAGTGATCAAGTAAGCTAAAATGTCACTACATATGAACCAATAGAGAAAATGGTAGTCTTTAATAAGATTATAGTCTCAAAACCAAAGTCAAAAAAAGATGGTAAGAAAAGCAACATACTGCCGGGGCAGCCCAGCAAACCTTAACATTCTTAGCAGAACCCTAATGTAACCCATAACCTACTCCTCAACAATTATTAACCTCTAAATGTGCTGACTTAAAATGGAACTCCAGCCAAAACCAGTTTCTAGTTTTAGATAAACTGGAGTGTTAAAACTTCTTTCAGATTCTTATTGCGGTAGATTTTCTCTCCCTAATCTAGTGACAGCTGTCACTGAGAGAGAGCGAGGAGAACTCTTAAATGATATGGTAGCAATCATATAATCTAGTGACAGTTGTCACTGAGAGAGAGCGAGGAGAACTCTTAAATGATATGGTAGCAATCATATCGAAGCAGTAACAAAGGGGCAATTTCCCAATAGGTACATATGTTCTTGATACAGCACAGGTGAAATTACCCTCCATTTTAAGAGTTTTTTTCACTTTTTGTCACTTTCCTAGGACAGAAATGCAAAATCTTCCTAACAGACTACAATACTAGCCTTACAGAGATTCTAAGTCAGGGAAGCTCACAATTTTTCATCTGGAGATCTGCTTTTCAAATGACAAGCTCAAGGGAGCCACTGTCACAGCAACATAGTCGAGCGGTGAGGAGAGAGAGAGCCGCCGGCTGTCAGATCCTGGCCGAGCGCCTCTCTCTCCTCAATGCTCAGCCATGCTGCTGTGATAGCGGCTCCCTCCTCCGCCGCTGGCTGCAGTGCTTCCTTCACTTCTCCTCGGATCCCCACTGCATACAGATGGGGAGAGCAGGGGAGATCCAGAGGAGAAGCCCCACGGCAGGAGGACAGGACATCGCAATCTACCAGTGATCGCAAAGCGATCACTGGTAGATTGCGATCGACCTAATGGGCACCCCTGTTCTAAGTCTTCCCCACCGTATCTATAACTAAAATGTAAAAAAATTTAGACCGCCAGAGCCCAGGGGAGAAGAGGCTGTGGTGACAGGTCTAGGTGCTAGGCAGGATTGAGGATCAGGTGAGTATACTTTCTTTATTTGAGCCCCTAGACCAAAACGAACCGTTAACCCTTGCAGTGCAGGGGTAGCCCCACTGTAAGGGTTAACTTTTTAGATCCCTGGAGTTTCTCACAGTTCATCAGAGTTATGGTTAAGGATTAGTTAAAGTCAGTGTATCTGAAATAGTCTTTCTGGCAAGATATCCCTGCCAAAACAGCTGGTACTCCCATTCTCACTCTCAGAGTGACACTCTTGCACCATTTTCTTACATCACTGGTAGTTCAGTGGGATATATAAGTCTTTATGTTGCTGCTCACTTGGTGAGACTCTGCCACAATAGCAACCTGTAATTTAATACAAAAATCTGCCCTGGGAGTATGGGGTGCCCGGGAAGTGATGCCACTACCCAAACGTAGAAGGAGGTGCAGTGGCTATCTATAGATATGGCATGGACCCAACAATGTAACTGTATTTGCTAGGTTCATAAAATACTTGGGGGACTCTACTCAGCATTTTAACCTATTGCCCTGAACAGTAGGCATGTCTAAACAAAAAGGCATGGTAAAAGTAAGCATATAGAATGAAGTGCTCAGGAGTATGTTACATACTGCAACACAGCATACAGAGTGCAACAGTGGGAAGCATGTAACAAACAATATAGCATATAACTTACAGTGATCAGATATGTCACATACAGTACAGCTCACAAAAATGAAGCAGCCAGGAGTATGTAATGCACTGTACACCAAAGTATATAGTATGCAGCAACCAGGAATCTGTATCATATAATATAACACTGAGAGTGCAAGAGTCAGGAATGCACAACATAATGTATTAAATACAGTGGTGAGGAGTATGTAACATACAGTAGCACAAAGTACATAGGCCATGAAACAGTAATATTCAATATAGCATATAGAAGCAAGGGTCAGGAACATTGCATATGGAGTAGAGGGATCAGGAGTATGTGCAGAAACGTACAACATTGTGTATGGGGTCCATTGGTCAAGCACACGTAAGATATAGTACAACTTACTTCAGGGGTGCCCATTAGGTAGATCATGATCTACCAGTAGCTCTCAAAGCTGATGCTGGTAGATCCCGAAGTGTGTGAATGGTGGCCCCTTTATTCCATTTTGGTATATTTATTTAGCTGTGCACACATGATTACCTATTAGCCTGAGCCTGCTGTGCCAAGCTCCCTGACACCTTTCTGGTGGATACTGGCGGTTGCAGTGCTATGTATTACATCAAAGAATATTAGTTTACACAGCCTGTTGTACTGCATTGTTGGCAAAATACAGCAGGGTGAGCCAGGAGAGAGAGAGTGGGGAGAGACAGACAGGAGAGAGAGCAACAAGAGACAGCCAAGAAAGAGAGAGAGGAAAGACAGCCAAGAGAGCGAAGAGAGACAGCCAGGAGAGAAAACGAGGAATGACAGCCAGGAGAGAGAGAGCGAGGAAAGACAGCCAGGAGAGGAGAGACAGCCAGGAGAGAGAGCAAGGAGAGACAGCCAGGAAAAAGAACAAGGAGAGACAGCCAGGAGAGAGCGAGGGAGGTTTTTTTTTTTCATTGGTAGATCTGTCATTTGAAAAGTAGATCTTATTACAAAAGATTGTGGGCACCCCTGACTTACTTGATGCAGTAGTGAGGAGTATGTAATGCACAGTACAGCTTACAGGATGCAGGGGTCAGGAGTATGTATAACGTGCAGAAAGCATACCCCTTACATTGGTGTCTGGTTACCCCTGTATGTGCCCAGGCACACCTGGCACCCCCGTGCACGCTTATGGGTAACAGGCTCATTAGGAGAATGCAGGGCACACAGGAGCAGGAATATTGGAACTCCCAGAGAGAACACAGGTGCAGTGACGCAGGCAGCTCAAACAATAACATACATGAAAGAGACTATAGCTCTCTTGAAGTAAGATGTGCACACAAATGCAGGAAGGTAGGGAATCTCTCAGAGTGAACAGTCTTGAAATAAACACAGGAATGCAGTAGGAACACAGAAGAGTCCAAAAGAGACAAAAGGAACAGCAATACAGGTATAAACAGTGGGTCACAGAGATCCTTGGGAAGCAAGCAAACTTCAGGAAAAACATGGGGCTCAACAGCTAGTGTATTGACATGTTGCTTGAACACGACGCAACAGTGTGCACAAGCGTATTAAGACGGAGGCTGAGGACGGATTGGCTGCAACGATAGAAGATGAGAATCACATACAGATGGAAAAACCCAGGAAGGCTCAAGGTACAGGTAAGTGTGACAGCTACAGAGCCACTATAAGTGCCAGGGATCTTGTGTCATCTCTGGCGCTGGATTAGGGCTAGAGGACTGGCGTCCACTGCAGGATTCCCCAGTAAACCAGTCCAACCCTGCCCGAAACATTAACGTTTAACACAACAGTATTTAGTGTATAACGCATTTAACATAATTTAGATGTAGGATGCTAATTTGCCCTTGTGTGCCTTTGACCCATTACCTGCCAATGTTATACATATCGTAGATCAATAGCACGTGATGTAACTTCAAAAGTGGGAGAAGAATACCATATGACATTTCTGAAATGTCTAATCCACAGGTTATTATAACTTAAGAATAACAGTGTATGTAAAAATTTAACCTCGTTCCACCTCAATACCAGTTTCCTCTGTCCAGAATTGCCAGGACTCAGGAAGAAGCCGAGGCAACAAGTCTATCCTCTGAAATGTCATCTTGGCTTAAGAACCTGGTGAGTATCCAACTTTTAGTTCCCTTGCCAAAGAGCAGAGGGGCCACACAGAGCAGCACAATGCATTCTGGCTGCTATGTGTTTATTGCTTGCTCATTACTTTTTATAATATGGAATTATAATTGGTAATTATAAAGCTTTAACTTAATTATTTGTTTCTATATGTAACATGACATTTTGGGTCACGACCTACCAGTTGAGAACCAAGGGTTTAGACAATGGTGTACTTGAGAGTTTGCCTTAATCTGATGAATCTAATGAAACGCGTATCCTTGGATGAACTTTTGACAGGTTCAAGGAGTAACTTACCCTGTAAATGTTTTTATACATACCAGAAAAACATTGTATGGAGGTTTTTGAAAATATTCCCAAACTTGTATGGGGTAGTAGAAACACACGCCTAGGTTTATAGCCCAACTTCAGACGTGCTTTTAAAAGTTTTTACTATTTTCCACGACTTGCGTTTGACCTCTAAGTGATTTTATACTGTTGCTGCTGGTTCTAAGTCCAAATGACCTGCTGCTGAAAAGTAAATGTAAGCCATAATTCCACCTCCCCGTAGCATTGGAACGGGGTCTATGATAGACAACAGTTCTGGTGTTCCAGTTCTGGAGCTAAAGAAAATATTAGGCTAGTTGAATTTTTTTAAACTGTAATTGCTCTTAAGGAGATTTAACCATCACTTCTATTCCTTGCAACAGGAGGTTAGAAGAACAGGAAGTGATAGAAAACCTCTCCAATGAGGACACAGACAGTAACAAACTTTTTTTAGGAAAGTAAGGAAGGATCTGAACCTGTGTAAGGTTTTTTTTCCTCCAGTGTTCCATTGACGCCTGTTCCTCGCAATTCTCTCAATTTGTGTCCTGATGTCACAGAGCCAGTAACTTAAAGTATAGTAATACATTAACCTTTCCCACTCTATCCAAAACAGAAATAAATATGGCTAGAATAAAGATTTAAAAGCCTTGAATTGCATGAGCTCATCAGTGCACTGCTTCTCCTTTCACTATCCAGTCGCAAATAGGGGAATTAGGTGGAGGCCTGAAACTGGAAGTGAAACTGAGGCAGAGAAAGATGGCTAATATACAACTACATGGCTAGTACACTGGCTAATATACTAATCTCAATGTTTAATACAACAGGAAAAATAAGAAATACCATGTATGTAAATGCTTAAGTCAATCACTTTCCAATAAATCCTGCAATATGGACTCAGTATATCTGCTCACCAAAAATACATTATCCCTTCCATTTAATGTTTTTAAATATACATTAGTAATTAGCTTATTGTGATACTGTTAAAGGTTCAAACCCTTGTTGTAACTTTTGTGAATATATTTATAGTAAATGTATATACAGTATATACATATTTGTGGGTGGCCATAGTTATTTGTCCATTACATATTCAGTACATGTAAAGGCCTATCCTTGCCTTGTAAATCTACCAAACAGAATCTGCCTGGTTGTAAAATCTCTACAGTCTATAATAATGTAAAACACTAACAGTACTCATCATGTGATCATTTGCCTAGATTTCAGGCAGTGACGTGTGTGCCTTCTGTGTGGGTGAGGCACCCCTCCAACCTGCTGAAGCTCCGCCCCGCCGAAGCTCCGCACCGTCTTGATAACCAAGCTGTGTGGGGAGGAGGAAGGGAGGAGCCTCCCTGTCCCTCACTTGCTTGTCACTGCTGAGGCATTCAGATGGTGGGAGGGGGTCAGTGACGTGCCATGCCTTCTGTGCTGGGTGAGACACCCCCCAGCCTGCCGAAGCTCGGCCCCGTCCCACTGAAGCCCCACCTCCAGCTCACTAACCAAGCTGTGTGGGGAGGAGGAAGGTTGCCATTGGTCCAAGCCATCCACAGAGCTCACGCCTCTAAGACAGAGTAGTGTCTATGACAGCTCTTGCCTCACCAAGTTAGGTTACATAAGCAGTGGGGAAGCCCGCTGCTGTGTAACCTAACTACCTGTCAAAAGCCGGATGCAGCGCTGCCTGTAATTAACAAGCAGCGCTCCGTCCATGACAGGTTACACAGCGGAGATGCTTTCCCTGCTGTGTAACCTGTAACAAGCCGCACTGAATGGAGAAAAAGCTGTCAGCTTCAGACTTGAGTGTCGGGTCCCGGTCCGGGCAGGTCAGGGTCCGGTCCGGGTGGCTCGTCAGCCTTGTCGGTTGCCGTCCCGCGGGAGTTGCCGTGTCCCGATCCTGGCCACTGTGCGGCGACATGCACAGAGGGGGCGTTCCGGCAGCGCTGCTAGGCCGCGCAGGCGCAGTCGCGGGTGCCCTGTGATCCGGCGGGGACCGCCCCGCACGTTGTGACGCTAGGTTACTGCGCATGCGCGGATGACGTCATCACGTCGGCGCATGCGCGGTACGAGGTGTCAGCCTATTTAAAGCGCCACAGGACTGGGATTCATTGCTGAGTGATTGCTAGTCAGCACCAGTCATCTGTGATCTGCTCCTGTGTACTCCTGATTAACCAAATACCTGGCTTCCTTATTGACGTTCCCCTTGGATTATCCCTCTGTACTGCGCTGTCCGCCTGATACCGACCCGGCTTGTCCCTTGACCATTCTCTGGATCCTGTCTGGTACTTCGCTGCCCGCCCAATATTGACCCGGCTTGTCTCCACTACCTCTGCACGGCTGCCTACTCTGCTCCACTATCATCTGCTGCAGACACCTGGAAACCGTGATCCGGCACCCGTGCACCCCCTGCCTGAGCACACTGTCTCCACCCCAGTGGTCATCAGACGGGGTTGCAAGGGAGGTCCTCCTCATCATATCGGGCCCACACCTCGATCCTTACATTGAGAGACTCGCCAGTCTTGAAGCTGACACCTTTTTTCTTCATAATACTAGGTGAGGCTCTGCCTCCCCTGACCACACTTCCCAGGAGGGGGGAGTAGTTGTAAAAAGAAACAGTGCTAGAGCAGAGGTTTCCTGGTGGTTACTAATAATCAACCCAGAGGCAGGATAGAATTCTTGATAACAGTAGTATTTATTGAACACCAAAATAGTATGTTATGTGACTGTAACGTCAAATCTTATGCTTCAGGTCAGTGGTGTGGACACAGACAGTATAAGATGAAAAGAAAAGTACAGCAAATGTGGGGGGGGGTCCAAAATCTGGAAACCAGGTCAAACCCCATCTTTAGCTCAATTTTTCAGAAAGGGTCAATAAAAATACAATAATATACATGTATTTAAACATTATATATAAAAAGTATATGGAAAAATAAGAGATATAAAAAAATTAATTAAATAGT